CCTGCCATCTCCAATCAAGCCACCTTCATGAACACGCTCCTCACAGTCACTCATCGTCCGGTCTACCGTTCACTACTCTGAACCTTACCAGACTCCCTATATGCTATTTACCTGTTTATCCTTACCTGTAGTTCCCCGAAGATCTTCATCCGTTATTTTCCTCCGCTCCTCGATCCCAAACCCTCCTCGCACCTACAAAGGAACCATACATCAGGACACAGCTAAAACTCATTGAACTGTCATCTGTACTGGATACTCACCAGTCATGGCTTCAGTCATTCTGCCTAAACCTTACCTGTCAATAAACCTGCCATTCATTCACTAACCTATTGTCTCCAGCTTGATCTGTGATAATCAGTCAGTTGAATTCAAAGAACTCTGTCTAGAGGCTGTGTCCCAAGTGCTGAGGTCATATATGGGTCACATGTTGTGTCTGGGGCACTGTCTAACTTGCTGATATTGTTTATAGACTTGCACGGCAGGACATGTTAAACAGAAAAATTAGAAACCTTGGTTGAATGCACAAATGGAGGTGTAGATTTTTCACCCCAAGGAAAAAGCTGTCATATGTCTAGTTTACAGCTGTAAAACTGTTAATGTTCTATATTTACCATATTGTAGGTTCTATATATTTGTTCTTAGTTTTGCTGTGGTATTATGTGCAACAACTAATTACTCAAATATTTCATTTGTTCAAAATGCCTGATAAATGAGTTAAATATGCAGGAATGTCCTTGTGTTCTCATTTGCACGAGACTCATGTTATTGTCCTTTGTTTCTTTAGGGCACCGTGATGATGACACACAGAGCATGCCTGATGTGCGCAGTGAGTACACAAATACATTCATGGTGTTGTGAATGAAACAACAGGAGCATAGCTGGTGCTGTCACAGAGCACTTGGCCAAGCTTTGTTGATATTTATCAGTACTGAAACTATGCAATCCCTTTTGATAGTGTACCTCTGTAATATAAAATATGCTTTATTCTTAGATGTGTATAATGGTCATGATGAACATTTGGATGCATCTGAAGCTCAACGTTATAAGCAGGTAGATCAAATTTTGGAATGCTTTTGAATTTATATTTCAATATGCATTTCAAGGGCTTTGTTTAAGACTTTTCCCTTGGTGAATTAACTTAGTGGCTTATTATTTTAGTGCACAGTGTGTTAGTCTGGTAAAGAACCATGTCAAAACTTTTCGGGAAAAGACGGTACATTCCCTTTTTATATATAATTTGTAAATCATAATTATGAGATAAAAGGTTCAAACTATGAGACATTAAGTCATAAGATACAAATTCTAAATTATGACATACCAAGTATTGATTATTAAATAAAAGTCAAAATAATGACATGTTAAATTAAAATTGAGATTAAAAAGTCAATATAAAAATTTAAATTATGAGATAAAAGTTGAAATGATGAAATACAGTGTACTAATTCATAATTATGAAATACAAAGTTGAAATGATGACATACTAAGTCATAATGACTTTGAAATGAAGAGAGATGAGATAAGATTGAAATTATGTTTTCTTATGTGGCATAAATGGGCTTATATATATTGACCTATAGGTTTTTTCCTTCTCCATAAATTTGCAGTTTAAAGCAAATTATTTGTGCAAGGGATTTCCCTTTAAATGCCACAGCATTTAGACAAACACATTTTTTCTGCAATTTAATTATTAAAGATAGACAAGTTACATTCAAAATCCACAATTATGATAACAAAGCTCTCTTAAACCAGTATTTTGTAAGTCTTTGTCACTCATATTTAATATGAGCTAAATTGTCCTGACTTCTTCACAGATGCGAAAGACCAAGCGTCTTCTCTCTGTCCACCCCATGGATCTTGACATGGACGACTATGCCACTCACTCTCGCAGACAGTCTGTCCAGGTATTGAGAAGGCTCATATTGTTAAACATCAACTCTTTAAAAGGGCATTCAGGCATTACAGACACTTCTCACTCTTCTCCAGTACATGCATGAAGACAGAGGTCAGCGGAATGATGTAGAATACAACTCTGACATGTACCATCACCATCATCATCATCGCATGAACCGCAGGAAAAGTCTTGACAAGTTCTCGCGCCCAGGTGAAGCAAACATATTCTGTCTGTACATTTTGGTCTTTCTTTCTTTCTTTCTTTCTTTCTCTTTCTTTCTTTCTTTCTCTTCCTCATATCCTTCACAAATGTACACATTTACACAAACATTCACTGATCACATATCAAGGGCTTCATGTAAAACGTCTCTGTTACATATGTAACCCTCGTTCCCTGAAGACGTCACGTCGGTTATTAACGACGAATTGGGATCTCGCCAGGGATTGAGCCAATGGACATTGGCATGCGGATTTTGCATCTGGCTGCCACACCCCAGAGCGCGGGTATAAGAGGCAGCAGGTGCATCATATTAATTCATGTTTTCGCTGAGGAGCCGAGCCGGTGACCCGGCAGCTCAGCGGTGGTACAGCAACTGTGGCGACGGGACATGAAGCACATACGTAACAGAGACGTTCCCTTTTAGTCGGTCACTCTCGGCATCACGTCAGCGATGACCGATGAATTGGGATCCCTACCAACACGCCACAGGTGCTGCCCCCACCAGTGCCCTGTGTAGGCCTCTTGATCCTTCCTATAAGGCAGATGATAGGACCGGCTCTACACAGAGAAGGTAGACTACAGCTGTTCCTCGCAATCCAACAGTAGGACTTGGATAACACTGGGAAGCGTGCCCCTTCTATTTGGAAGAGGACACTGATGAGTCACCTCCTTCCAGAGGGGGTTAACTGACATTTACTCACGTGGAGTAACCCAGAGGGGCCCTATTGCACATGGAAGTCTCTGAGATGGCTCATGGCTGCATCATTTAGAGACGGCAGAACATGGTCTGCCAGGGGAAACACAGCCTTAGTAACTGTACCGTGGAAATACACAACCGGGTCACTCGTATGGGCACTAGCCTCACACCAGATTTCAGGAATTAATTGGCTGAAAGGCCTGGTGCTGGATGCTCCGCCACGTCTGGCCGCCGAGGGGACGGAGGAACTCAACAGGGTCTACTATATGGACTCTCTGGAGTGGTTTTTGCAAGCCGACCCGAAGCCGGGGGCCTCTCAGTGCTTCTACCCGTTTGAGGTGAGAACACAGGAGGATACCGGCTCCATACGAAGGCTATAGAATCTAGCGAATGTGTTAGGGGTCGCCCAGCCCGCAGCCCTAC